TAAAATAGTGTGATGCTATTTTAGCCAAATTCCTAATTCTATATCTTAAGAGTGGTTATCTTAAGTGTGAGTTTTAGGTTCTAGATATTTGATTAAGTGTGTCATATCTTAATTAAATTCTAGATTCAAACCCCAAGTGAGGATAAGAGTGTGTAATATCTCTTAAACACCAACTTGGTTTATCCATCCCTGATTTTTCTCCCATTTCATACCTCCCCATTTCTCCTCTTAATCTCACTCTTTTCTCCCATTAAAACACCCAAAATAACTCCACCTTCATTCCCATAATTCCACCTTTTCATCACCAGCATACACCCATCATCTCTTATCCGTATTGGTATCCTGAGAGCCCTAATAATCGATTGTTGAACACTGACAATCGATTGTTGCACCCTCCTGAATATCCCTGGTAACAACCGCAGCCCTACATAATCGATTATCAGTTTTGGATAATCGACTATCTTGCTCCTCTGATTTCTCTTGGCCTAAGTCATACAACCCCATAATCGATTATCACACTTGTGACAATTGATTATCCGGCATCCCTGAAGTTCCTTGGTTTTTGCAGCATCACTACATAATCGATTGACAAAAGTCCAGAATCGATTATAGAGTGTCCTGGAACTTTGAACTCGTGGCTGTATCATCCCTTGATTCCTTCTCAAAATAACAACTCGTTAAGACCCCCGGTTCGGGTATAACAGCTGTTTAGGCCTGACTTTGAAAGTGAAAGAAATGGCCTGACATCGCTGTTGCTGGGTCAACAGCGCTGTCCAAAAACTTTCTGACAATGTATTTGGTTTTGGCTTAGGTTGGACAGCGATGTAGGGTAGGCTACATCGCTTTTCCAGATGTTTCTGGAAACCCAACCTTGGCTCAACAGCGATGTCTAACAACCAACATCGCTGTTGGAAGACTTAACGCCAAACCATGGTTTTCAGCTACCCATGCTAGACAGCGTTGTTGCTTACACCAACATCGCTGTTTGGCTGGTTAAGCCAGACCCATGGTTGGTTTAGTCATGCTGTTAGCCGATCTCAAAAATGTAAGTTCTCCAAAATAAAAACTAAGTATTGAAAATGTTTGTTTAATGCATTTTTCTAAGAAATCAAGTAAAACATTTTGAAAACCACGTCATTTAGTTGAAAACCATGGCTAGCCAAGTTTACGCCGTTTCGCATGGTTTTCACTAAACGACCAAAAATGAAGGATGGTTTTTGAGGCATTTTTATTGGAGAACTATTTAAATATGCTCAGAAGTAAAAACCAATCATTAAGAGTTGAAAACCATTTGGTTGGTTTGGACACCAAAAACCAACGCCGATAACCGAAGGCCGAACGCCGGTTTTTGAAGACCGAACACCGGATGGCTTGGTTTTTGGTTTGGGCGAACTCCAAGTGTTTTTAGGCAGGTTTAAGACTTAAGAAAACCATTTTGAATATGAAAAAAGTATTTTGATGAAATGAGCCTAGAGAGCCATGTTTTGAAAGTTTGTGCCGGTCTTGATCACATTAAAACCGACTCAATACAATTCTAAGTCTTCGTTCTTGATTCTTGGTTCTTGGTTCTCAATTCATCATGCCATCTTCCTTCGCCTTGGTTTTGCTTACTTTAACCTTGTTATTGTCACGGCGGTTTGGCATTATCAAAACCTGTCATAAAACGAACACGGTTTAGTATGACATAGGCGTAAACCCGTGTTCCAACAGACTGTGATAATCGATTGTTGCAGAAGTGACAATCGATTATTGCGTGCTTCAGAACTTTAAGTTCAAAAGCTGCAGAGGCTGATAGTCGATTGTCACTAAGGTGATAATCGATTATCACCCAGCTAAGACCCAGCCGGCGAAAACCCGTTTTGAAAAACCGAGGTCCAAAAACGAAGCGTTCCCAAACATAAAAACCAAGTTTGAAAAACATTGTATATGGTATAAAATAGTGAAACCAAGACTTGTTTTATAAAAACCAAGTCTTCAAGGTCGTTTATCACGTGTGTACGGTTTTGACCGTTTTTCACGTGTTAGACCGATTGACCAAGATACAAAAGTGGTTTTTATAAAATAATTATTTGGGAACCTTTTAAATATGCCCAGAGGTAAAAAAGAGGTTTAAAATATTGAAAACCACCGAGTTGGTTTGGACGCCGAAAACCGAACGCCGAACCTCGAATGCCGTATGCCGATGCCGAACACCGAGCACCGACCGAGGTGGTTTTTGGTCTGGGCAAGGACCAGAGATTTTAATACAATGAAGCTTTTAAAAATGTTTATTTGATTCACAAAAACGTTTTATGATTTTGTAAAAATATTTTGACTCTTTGAGAACCGAGACTTGAATTGATTGTCGGTTTTGATCACAAAAGACCGACTCGACTACGTCTTCAATTCTTGATCTTGTTCTTGAGTCTTTTGGTCTTGTTCCATGCCATTCTTCACGCCTTGAGTTATTCAACGAAACTCTTCTTATCCACGGCCGTTTGGCAATTATCAAAACCTGTCAGAAATGAACACGATTTTAGTTTAACTTCACAAATAGTGTGTTCCAACAATTTCCCCCCTTTTGATAATGGCAAACAAGACGGGGATATGCAAAGGGTTTTGATCTTTTTGAAAGAAATTCCCCCTTAATAAAAATTCCCCCTTAATATATGCATAGCCCTTATCTTCCCCCTTTTGACATTAACAAAAAGATTTAAGAACAAAAACCATAAAGATTTTTATTCATTAAATAAGGGAAATAGCGAAGTACACAACGGAAGCAAATTTAAAATGCATAATAATTAAAGAAGAGAAGAGAAAAGAGCTAGAGCTCTAGAAATCCGGTGAAAGATCATCGAGGAGTTGTTCTTCGTCGATGTCTTCCTCTTCCTCATCATCATCATCATCTTCTTCTTCTTCTTCTTCTTCGGCTTCCTCTTCCTCTTCTTCCTCATCGTTCGCCTCTTCTTCTCCACCAACGTTGTTAGTCCCGCTTGGATCACCACCGAGGTTTGGCGGAGGAACATAAGGGACCATTTGAGCATAGGGGTAGTTGACAAAGTCAAAATACCCGTGAAGCTCACGGCTCAAAATATTGACATTTTGGGCCGTTTGGGAGACGTTGGTGTCAATCCGAGAGAGAGTGGCGGTCAAGGCGGCCATTTGCTCGGCGAGAGAAGGGTTGGTCGAATCGGTGGCCCTTGGTTGGCGGCGTGGACGAGGCTGTCGAAACGGAGTTTCGTTAGTGCCTGAGTGGAAGGAGGATTCATCAATCTCCCAATGCTTCGTCCCTTTGCATTTTGGCCCAACGTCCGTATTGATGTGGAACTCATGAAGGATCGCCATGACGAGAAGAGCATAGGGAAGCGGCCGGTTGTCGGAGGTGGCATTGAACATGTGAGACATCACAAACTTACACCAATTGATATTGGCGTTGTGAATCATCGCATGAAGCGTCTTCGTGTCCTCTTGGGAGAGAGCGGTGTGATTGAACTTCCTTAGCTTGAGAATCCGTGTCAAAACATAAAAAATGAAGCGAAACACGGGACTCATGGAAGTAATCGTAGGGCGCCGCTGTTGGGGAGTGGCGACGAAGTTTCTGATGCCCACTTCCTCCAAGAGTGCAGTGTCGTTGAACTGCGCTCCTTCTTCTCCGACTGTTATACCCGAACTCCGGGAATAAGCTTTAAGTTTGGGACAAAGCTTCTTAAATGGCAGGAGCAAGGAATAATCGATTATCAATTTATGATAATCGACTAACAAGAGGTTCAGTTTCTTGGGAAGGAAATTTGGTAGTTCAGGGAAGGGAAATAGTCGATTGTCACTTTAGCAACAATCGATTGTGGGATTGTGTAGTTTGAGACAAGAAGGATCAGAAGGGTGGGATAGTCGATTATCAATAGTTGATAATCGATTATTTGGGGCTTCGGATTCTGCCAAGGAAGTTCAGGGGTGTTGGATAGTCGATTGTCAGTGAAAGATAATCGATTATCAGGGTTACCCGAGGTTTCAATATGGAAGGAAAGTGGCTGGGCTATGTAGGGAAGTTATGGGAAGGAATGATAGGGTGTTTTATATGTTAAGGGAAGAAAAGAAGGGGATTTCAGAATGAGAAATGGAGGGATANGATAGCACACACAAACAAGTGTATTACTAAGTTGGAAATTGGGAATACAATGTGGGTTTACAATGCTCAGGGATGAGCTTATATAGGCATAGAAAAGGGAGACTACCAAGTCTCTTATTCACACAAATTAAAGAAATTAATGGCCACTTGTTGATGTTCCTTTAGTGGGTAAAACACAGGGATTATTGTACTTGTAGGGCAGGATTTTGGCTATTAGTGGTGGGAGGGAATATGTGAATATAATTCACAATTGATTGGCTTAGGTGGGGTTGTTTTGGGCAGGAGAAAAGGGTGGGGTAGCAGGTTATTTGGAGGTATTTCCTGGGCTGGATATGGGGTAAAAACATGGGGAATTGAAGGGTGTGGGTGTGGGTCAAGGTGTCTTGGATTTTATGGCTGTTTGTTTAGCCAAGTTAAGGTGTAAAGGAGTGGTATTGGTAGGGTTGTGGCATGAGGTTTTTGGCCAGGGATGAAGGAAAAATAAATGAAGTTTGGGTTTATTATTTTGGATATTTTAGGGTTTGGATTGGATGAGAATGGCTGGGCCTTTTAAGTTGGAGTTGGGCTCAGGGAAATTATGGCTATGTGGCGGGTTTTAGGATTGATAAGTTCGGTCCAAAAGGAATCATAACACTTAGCCATTATTCCGTTAATTTGTTTAACGACTTTAGAGTCGTTGGTAGTCGCCCGGGGTATATCACCGACATAGAGGCCGAGATCTTGTCCGTTCCGACGAAGCCCTGTGAGAATTTGAACGTTTTCCTCATTCAAATAGATGTCCACCCCGTTGACGTTAGAAATCAACGCTCCGTCCTCATCCTTTTTCAAGTTCGAGTAGAAAGCTCGAACAAGAAAAGGTTGATAATGATGCTTCTTGATATAGAGGAGATCGAGGAAATTTCCACGCTCGAGGATAATTTGTGCCTCGCATGGGATGAAATCATGAATGAAGCGGGCGGTGGAGAACCGGGGAGGAAGAATTTCCTGGTGCTCAAACTTCTCTGAGAACCGCGTCGCCTCTGCGCGGTCGTTGAACAAAAGGAATGACCCATCGAGGTACTTATGCGCCGGTGGTGGAGGAGGAGCCGAGGAGGAAGCGACGTTCTTCCCGGTGCGAGATCGTTTTCTTTGACCTCCTGCCGTGTCAACAAGAGAGAGGGAGAGAACACAAGAAATTTGCAGAGATTTGGCAAAAAAAATGAAGAACAATAGCAAGAATTGATGAAGTATGATGAATATGTGGAGAAAGTATGATTTAAGTGAGTATAAAATGAATGGAGATCACCAATTTATAATGGAGGAGGCTTGAGATCCGTTGGACCAGTCAAAAGTTGTGATAAATGCACTTCAAACGGTTCTAAAACGGTCAAATTTTTGAAAAATTGCCATTGTCAGTCGATTTACACAGCCTGTAACTCGACTATCTCAGACCTCAGATTTTCTGCTGAAGGATCTGCGAACCCTATTAGTCGATTGACATAAAGTTGTTACTCGACTGACACTGGTTTGCTCCTAAAGTTTGAAAAGTTCAGCGGCCCCTGTTAGTCGAGTATCAGAATTGTGATACTCGATTGTTTGGGTTCTCAGCTCAATTGCCCCAAAACTTCTGTGGGCTATGATAGTCGAGTATCACCAGTCTGTAACTCGATTTACACTTTAGAAATCGATTTACTTTGTTCCCCTTACTTTAACGCCTACAATGAAAACATTTGGTACCCAATTTTTTGATCTTTTGGGTCCTTGAGGATTAGTAACATGACTTTTTAAACTAATAAACACATGCACCCATAGCCACACACGCCAATGCACACACACACACGCGTACGATATTCACGTTTAAGTGTTACCTTGACCAACTTGTGGTCTTTGGGTTGGCGGGTTCTAGTCTACTTCAACCTTGGTTTGATTTGTGTGGGTTCCGGAAGTGGTATGTGAATCTTCTTCTTTTCATCATAATAGAAGAAGTAATATGGTTTCTTTTGCGTTGATTCCTGCGGGGATCGCTTAGAACTCGAATATCCTTTTTCAAAGGATCTCGTTAGGTTAGTTCTATGCAAAGTGTGTGTTTTGTTATTCGTGCAATGCCTATGCCTACTAAAACACACGGGTGCTATATGACCTACCCTATGGCAATAATGGCATACTACATTTGGATTGTGCATTCTCCTAGGTTGATAATAATTGCTAGGTTTTCTATATTGATTGATCCTAGTTTGAGAAAAGTTTTGCTTATGCATATTTATAAAATTGTTTCTAGGTTCTCTAACATGACCATTGTTTATCCTAGTGTTCTTTCCAGGTGGTCTAGTGTTCCTAGTTGATCTAGGTTGTCTATTATTGCTCATTTTATCTCTACTAACTTGAGCCTTAGGTTGTTTAGGTGGTTGCTCAACTTTTTCTTTATTATTGTTAATTTCATTTTCAAACCCTAAGCCATGTTTAGTAAGTTGTAAATTATCAAGAACATCATTAAGATTTTTATGAGAAACACCAAACTTCTTCAAGGTTCCTTCAAGTTTGCAACTTGTTGCTTAAGTGATGTACAAGAACAACATTTGGAACTTTCTAGTTTGTCAGCGCTTCTTTTTCTGAAAAAAATATTCTCTTCTTTAAGTTTTTCATTATCTTTTGATAGTTTATCAACTTCCTTCTCCATGGAAGTAAGTTGTTTCTTCAAATCCTTGTTAATTTTAGAAGCGTTGACATATTCATCATAAAGTTCATTGAAGGCTTCTTGAACATCATCAAAAGTGTAGGAATCTTTAGAAGTGGTACATACCTCTTCCGGTGGTTCCTCGTGTGCCATGAGGCAAAGGTTGGCGCTTTCGTTTTCTTCACCTTCTGATGATTCGTCGCCGGAGTCACCTCCCCACGAGATGTAAGCTCGGTGCTTCTTGAATGGTTTCTTCTCATTCTTGGCATTTGGGCATTTTGGTTTTATATGCCCAACTTCTCCACACCCATAGCATTTGGGTGGTTCTCCTTGCTTCTTTCCTTTTCGTTCAAACTCCTTGCGCATGAACTTATGGAATTTCTTAAGCACGACCCCGAACTCGTCTTTGTCACTCGAGTCCTCCACATCATGTTCTTGACTTGTGCACGCCTTGAGTGCAATTCCATTCTTCTTTTGTTCACCTAAAGAGGAGTAAAGAATGGTAGACTCATAGGTTTTGAGGTTACCTCTAAGCCCATCAATGGTGACATTGGTGATGCTGATGGATTCTTGGATAGCATCGGCTTTGGAGCGCCATTCCGGTGTGAGACTCCGCAGGATTTTTCTCACAAGCTCCTTGTCCGTGTATGTCTTCTTGAGAGCATGAAGATCGTTTACGATTTTTGAAAATCGTTCAAACATATCGTCGATTTTCTCGTTCTCCTTCATACGAAATAGTTCATACTCATGGGTTAGAAAATCTATCTTAGCTTCTCGGACTTAATCTGTACCTTCATATGTGATTTCTAGCTTGTCCCACATTTCCTTGGCGGTGGAACAACAAGAAATCTTCCGGTAGTCATCCGGGTTTACGGCACAATAGATGATGTTGATAGCCTTGGCGTTGTTTTCTATCTTCTTGATATCCCGCTCATCATACTCATCTTCGGTTTTGTGCACGGTGGTTTCCCCAACTTTCTTTGTGGGTACTTCTTCACCATTTTTAATTATTCTCCACAAAAGAAAGTTGTTGGATTGAATAAAAATCCTCATCCGCTCTTTCCAATATGTATAATTTGTTCCATCAAATAACGGTGGCCTCGTGGTAGATTGACCTTCACCTATTCCTGCGTAAAAATTTTGAGTAGAAGCCATTGATCGTTTCTCTCAAACGGTTAAGTCTATCAGAGAGTATGGCTCTGATACCAATTGTTAGAAAATAGGCCCAACGCTAGAGGGGGGTGAATAGCGTTTAAAACAAAATCGCAGGAAATTAAAAACGAGAGCAATAAAGTAAAGAGCGTAAGGAAGGAGCACACCGAATTTTATCCTGGTTCACCACAACGTGTGGCTAATCCAGCCTTTCGAGAGACTCTCTCAGTTACACTAACTCCGTTAAGCTTAAAGGTGCTCAACAAACCGATACAACTTGAGAACTCGAGTCACACGAGCCTCAACGCCTTTGCTAGGAGACTCCAAGACTTCTCACGAAGGAACGAAAGACTTCCTTCGAGTTTACAACAAGGGAACAACCTCCCTTAAAGTGTATAGAAACACTTAAACACTCAGGAATAAAACTCTCACAAAGAGTAGATATGAGTGAACTAGTAAACGCTCAAGAACACGACAATTTCTTCAAGAATTGGCTCTCAAATAGCTAAGAAAAAATAGGAATGCTTATGCAATGAAAGAGCATTGAAATGTTGAAGAATTGTATGTAAAATGAGAGGATTTGGGTTCCATTTTATAGCCTAAAATGGGATAAACCCGTTGCTAAACTTTCAACCAGGATGAAGACAAATTTTTCAGAGACACAGGGTGATTGTCGATTGTCATAGCTTAATAATCGATTATCAAAAGATTCCCTGTCCAAAAACTTAAAATTCTATCCGATGGAGGACAACGGTAACTCAGACAATCGATTGTCAACAAGTGATAATCGACTATTGGTCCTCTTAGAAGTTCCTGGGTTTTGGCTGCAGACTGTGATAATCGATTGTTGCAGAAGTGACAATCGATTATTGCGTGCTTCAGAACTTTAAGTTCAAAAGCTGCAGAGGCTGATAGTCGATTGTCACTAAGGTGATAATCGATTATCACCCAGCTAAGACCCAGCCGGCGAAAACCCGTTTTGAAAAACCGAGGTCCAAAAACGAAGCGTTCCCAAACATAAAAACCAAGTTTGAAAAACATTGTATATGGTATAAAATAGTGAAACCAAGACTTGTTTTATAAAAACCAAGTCTTCAAGGTCGTTTATCACGTGTGTACGGTTTTGACCGTTTTTCACGTGTTAGACCGATTGACCAAGATACAAAAGTGGTTTTTGTAAAATAATTATTTGGGAACCTTTTAAATATGCCCAGAGGTAAAAAAGAGGTTTAAAATATTGAAAACCACCGAGTTGGTTTGGACACCGAACCTCGAATGCCGTATGCCGATGCCGAACACCAAGCGCCGACCGAGGTGGTTTTTGGTCTGGGCAAGGACCAGGGATTTTAATGCAATGACGCTTTTAAAAATGTTTATTTGATGCACAAAAACGTTTTATGATTTTGTAAAATTATTTTGACTCTTTGAGAACCGAGACTTTAATTGATTGTCGGTTTTGATCACAAAAGACCGACTCGACTACGTCTTCAATTCTTGATCTTGTCCTTGAGTCTTTTGGTCTTGTTCCATGCCATTCTTCACGCCTTGAGTTATTCAACGAAACTCTTCATATCCACAGCGGTTTGGCAATTATAAAAACCTGTCAGAAATGAACACGATTTTAGTTTAACTTCACAAAAAGTGTGTTCCAACAATTTCCCCCTTTTTGAAAGAAATTCCCCCTTAATACAAATTCCCCCTTATATATATATATATATATATATATATATATATATATATATATATATATATATATATATATATATATATATATATATATATATATATATATATATATATATATATATATATATATATATATATATATATATATATATATATATAATACTTCTTCTATATAAAAATAAGTTATTTATGATATATGACTAAAGTTATAATCAATTTAATTAATTTGAATAGTAGCATTAAATTGATAAAATTATAAACTATGAAATATTTAAAAATTTTATAAAATAGAAGGAGATTTTATTTTTTCAATAATTTGTCCAATATTTTCAAAATTTATTTAAATTGAATATTTCATTGATATGTACTATGTATTTGTAGAATACGGAGTAGTTAAAAGTTTAAATCATAGTTACAATATTATATTTTTTAATGTTTTATGAAAAGAAATCATTTTAAAAAAATTTTTAATCAAGAATTATATTATATAGTAACACTTTATGCAAAGTATGACACAAGAAGGTTCTAGCTAAGGTGGTCGGCAGGTGACTTTGTAGCCCAAGAGATCTAGTGTTCGATTCCTTCTAGGTACCATTTTGGAAGATTTTCGCACAAAATAAAATTGGTTTCCGGTTCAACCGGACGGTTCTTGCCGGTTTTTACTGGTTCGCGCCAGTTCATAGCTGAGGCCGGTCTTCTGGCCCGGAACGGACCTGTTTGGTCTCCGGTTCGCCGGTTTCCGGTCCGAACCGGCCGGTCCGGCCCGGTTTTTAAAACTATGGTTGGAACCCCCCATTCTCTCCTCTCTCCAATTCAAAATTCTCTTCCTCCCTCACTAATATCTCACCACTTTCTTCCTCCAAACACATAAAAATCAATCCATCTTCATCATCATCAACACCATTTATTACATTTGGAGCTCAAGAACACATTTTCCATTTTTGTAAGATTTTTAAAGGGAAAAGTACGGAAATAGCACTAGAGTATTAGATTAATACTCAAAATAACACTGCTATTGAGAATTGAAGTCCCATATAGCGTTGAGTGCTTGGAATGCCAGTTTTGCCCTTTTGTAACTAGTATTGGAGATTTGATTCACCTAATTTATGGTAATTAATGCCTGGTTTTTTTGGTGTACGCCAGACTCACCCGTTTCTTTAGCGCGACGAATCTGGCTAAATTGGGATTTGCATATCCGTATCGTGAGCAATTGAAAACCCCTAATATATATGACCTCCACGCCAATACACAGCCCACGAAGGCTTGCAATGTTGATGGAGGTTGACGATGCATTGGACAAGATTCCACTTAGAGAAGGTTGGAGAAGATCCAGGTACTAGTTGTTCATAAGATTTCTTGCACTAATTTTTTCCAAACAACATGACATTATTAGGTTATTCACGACATTAATTTGTCGTATATTTTTTCAAATGGATTTTTATTTTGGTTTCAATTTTTGAATATTGGACTGATTTTTTTTGGATTGGAAGTATGCAGTGTTGTTTTATTAATTGCTTATTTGCAAGTACTGCATTGTGCTGTGTTGATTTTTAGCTGGTAGTTTAATGGGAATTTGGATGTGTGAGAATTGGGCTAATTTGGGTTTTTTTTATAATTTTGTATTGTTCTCATAATTGGTGATTTGTTTCTTGAATCTAGTGGCAGTGTTTAGTTATGGAATTGTGTGATATATTGATTTCAAATTTGTGAAATAGAGAGGTAGGGGTACTACTGGCTCATAAGTGTGTTCTTGAATGTTTGGCTTGAGCTTTAAGTATATTGAATGAGTGTTTAAGAATTGTATTATTGAGTGTAAAGAAATTTGTATCTAATTTATGGAGACCCAAAGTGTGGCAGTGAGATGAGAAGTAAATGGGTTGTTGTCAGTGTGACAATTTGCCAAGAGTTTTTGGTTGATTGGAGATGTGAAATAGGTCTTATGTGTTTGAGTTCATGGTATACTGCATATGTGTTTTTACTGATTTCAATGTGGAATATGACTAATACTTATCCAACCTTTATTATGTTAAATGTGACACAAATTTGTATCTTTTGTGTGAGATCCCAATTGTGGCAGTGAGTTGAGATTTAAGGGGTTTTTAGCATTGTTAAATTATGTTTACTTTGTAAGCTTGTTTTGGGATGTGAAAAATAATGGACATGTGTTTGAGTGTATGGTTTAATGCATTTGTGTCTTAAGTGATTAGACACTGAAGTGTGGCTTATGTTTATTCAACATTTCGTGAGACCAAAAGTGTGGCAGTGAGATGAGAAGTGAATGAATTTCTGGCAGTGTGACAATTTCAATAGAGTTTTGGTTGTTTCGAGATGTGAAATAGGTCATATGTGTTTGAGTTCATGGTTTACTGTATATGTGTTTTAATTGAATTCACTCAGAAATGTGGTTTGTCTTTATTCAACCTTTTTAGTGTTAAGATTGACTAAATGGTAATTGTTTTTATGTGATACATTTCCATGTTTTTCCATTGAGTTTGGTATAAAAGGGGTTACTAGCAATGTTACAATTTGATAAGATTTATACATAAGGTTTGACACTGTAATGTGACTAATACTTATTCAACCTGTATTGTGTTAAATGTAAAACAAATTTGTATCATTTTGGTTGAGATCCCAAATGTGGCAGTGTTTTAGAGTTAAAGGGGTTTTTGGAAATGTAAAATTTTGCTTGCTATTTAAGGTTGATTGGGTATCTAAAAATAAAGGATATGTGTTTGAGTGTATGCTTTACTGCATTTGTGTTTTAAGTTATTTGACACTAGAGTATGGCGTATGTTTATTCCACATTTATAGTTTTTAGAATAAAAGTGGTATATACTTGATTGACTTCCATACTATGGCAGTGAATTTGTTGTAAAAGGGTGTTTCTGGCAGTGTAATAATTTGTTAAGATTCATTGACTGAATGGAATTGTGTAATAATATTCATATTTTTGGCAATGATGTTGTTGTACATGATTTATTCTCCTGTTTCAATTTACGTCTAACTACGGCTTAAATGTTATTTGAATGCGTAGTT